AATGTCACAAGAGATAAGAAATTGACATTTGTCTTGAACTTTGTGCAGAGATTGAACTGGTCTATCTTCTTGGGCGTGTGTGAACAAGTCTTTCATCTCTTGGATAGATTCTTTGCTGTCACAGAAAAAGTGGCCGATCATATAGTCTCGACATACTTTGGCAAACGAGATTCCTTCGGGCAGACTCTGAACTACTTGATTGAACTCTTCAAGTTTCTCTTTGCTGATATTTTTTGTGTAATCACTGGCTTCTTGGGGATCTTTGAGATGGATCCTGTAAACAGCTGCATCAGGGGTGATCTAGGAAAAGATAGATACCTGGCTCTTCTGAAATAGGTTTGAATGTTCTCCTTGGTCTCCTTGCTGTATCTGAAGAAGACTTGAAGGCAGCCTTGCTTCCAGATGTCATCGAATCCGAGGTAGAGAGGAATGGACTTCACAAATTTGTTGAACTCGATCAGTCTTTCTTTGGATATGCTCTTGGTTATTGATTATGAGTTGTCATCAGATGAATTATCCCCAAGGTTTGCATCTTTAACAAACAGACCATACTCTTCATCTTCTGAGAATTGTTCTTGGTACTCATTCTCACAAGTGTAAACCATGTTGCAAGGTGCATAAGTGTTGGACTCCTCCTTTTCTTTTGATGCTTGTGCAGTGATTGAGAAGTAAGCTTAATAAAACAACCTAGATCTGGTCACAAGGAGTCGGTCTTCAGTTGAACAGATTTCAGAGAGAAGTTGAAAGCTCTCCAAGTCTGAAAAAGCAAGCTTGGCCGCGGTTGAAAAGCTCTGGGCCGAGGTGGAAGTGGTCCTTGCCGCGGGTGAGAGCGTCGCAGTCGCGGTCAGCTCCTTCCGGTTCACCATGCTTGCTTCTTCATTCTCTTCTTCCCCATTATTGTTCTCTTGCTTCCAGTGGTTGTCAGACACGTCTTGGGTATCCAAATTATTGGTTCCAGTGTTCAGATCATACTCCTTATGATCTTTAGAAAGTTTTTCAACTTTCTCTTCTACTTCATCTAAAGCATAGACAACTTTATCTAAAGTAGCATCAAGCTCTTCTATCTTGTTTTCAACCTTAGCTACGCCTTGCCACAGCTCCAACGTGTAGTCGTAGGTTTGGTTCTTGCTTTCATTCAGCTCCTTATCCAAGTCATCGATCTTGAAAGTTAGGGTTTGCAGTTCCCTTTCACTTTGTCAAATGTTGAACTTGTTCTTCCCTTGCTCTTCTTCGACAAACTCCATCCTCTGGTTCAACACTTCATTGTCTTTGGTTCTCTGATCCTCTAGTGTCTTCACGTGCTCAGAGAGGTCATCAAATCTCTTGTTAAGGTCGATGGTGATGGCATCTATTCTTGTTTGCAAGACAGCTTCAATGAGGGCTTGGGAAGCAAGGATCTAATTCAGCTTGGCTTCCAATCGATTAAGCAGGATGTTAAGTCGATTAATCTCATAGTTTTGGTGCAGAATCTGATGAGGTAAGGGATGAGATGGTCGACGGTTCACCAGGTGTGGCGAATAGGGTTCATCTCGGTAGATTGGAGTTTGCGAGTCTCCAAGGTGGTGGTTCGGATGACTTGGCCGAACCGGATGATCGGAATCACGCCTGAATGTTGATTCACATGCGCAAGGAGCTTCACACAGGTTGCAAAAATTTCGCTCGGGATTACGGTTTCTTCTTGAATGATCCATACTTCAAGGAAATCTGAAATTAGGGCAAATAGAAAAAAGAATAAGAAAATAAAAAGTTAGGGTGTTTATGAGTTTGGTTTACTTCCTATATTGTTTTGGCAGAAACTCGACATATATATAGTCTTCTGCGGCTTCAACCTCTTGGGTTTAGACCTCCAGCGACTAAAATCTTCCTCGACAACGGCGCCAAAAACTTTGATGGGCCTCATGGTCGCAGTTCTTTTGCAAGCCCATTGGTCTGGAGTTTTAAATTTATAAAACCCTAATGTGTGAAAGTGCACAGATGTACGTTGTAAGACTTAGGGTGTCGATCCATAAAGAAGAAGTCTAATCTGCAAGGAAACAGCAAACTGGGAGAGTAAGCAAAGTCATAAACTCATGGGGGTTTGGAGTTTTTGGTTACAGATCCTAAACTAAACCTAATCAAATATTTACGGGAAATAAAATACAATGCAAATGAGTTGCTAAAAGAATATCTCAAGGGTGTTCGACTCAAACTATAGACTCTAGAGTCATAGTTAGGGATTTAGAATTCTCTGATTTACTCTAATCGATGTCAAAGCATTTTTAATTAGCTTTCAGGCAATTTATCCTTATCTATCTTCTGGGATCTGAATGGAAGTGGAATAGACATGTGTATGATTAACCAACTCTCGCTATCTTAATCAACTAATCACTTAAATCTGGTAATTAACTCCCGATCTCATGTCAGGAATAAGATCATGCATTAACTATTGAATTCATTTGCTCGCATCTTCTCTACAGGTAGCTCTCGGCTCATGTAGCGATTATGTTCTTCTGAAGCTAGGTATGGATGATCTGATACAGCACTCTCGTGGCTCTGATCGATCCTAGGCTCAGAGAATAGGTCATGAATCTACTCTCATGCAATATGAATAACTTAGAAGATATGAGATCCAGAATATGGTTTAGAAACTTAGAAATCCTAATCGAACATATATGTCTATCGATGACTCTTTAGAAACTTCACTCTCTGTGACAGATCTACATGATGCAAGGAATGATAAAAGACATGAAAGGATGCATAATATAAAACAGACAAGTTAATTAGATAAAGTAGAGATAGAACAATGGATCCAGGGAAGAATCCACTTCTCCATCGCCTAACCCTAGAAAAAGAAAGTTTGGTTTCTCAAAAACTCATTACAGGAGCACACACCCGTTTAGAACTGCTAAGAAATGTATTTATAGGTCCTAAAGTCTTCCAGGTCTCATTTAGGACTTCTCTGAAGAGAAATAACGAAATAGGATTTGATGTTGGGCCTTGTGGCTCGGAAATGGTCCACCGGGGGTGAGAGTCTTCCGAGGCAGGTAGAATGCTTGTTTGTCGCGGGTGAGAGTCTTCTGGGACTGGTGAATTTGGCCAGTTTGGCCAACGTTGGATCTTCCTGATGTAAAGTGCTATAGAAATTTGATTGTCTCCTCTTGAATGTTTCCAAATTTGAACTGAATCGGATGGTGAGAAAGTCTTCATTTGAGGCTAAACTTCTGACTGTCTGACTCTGAGCTGAAAATATAAATTTCTTCGATTTTGCCATCATTTTTTCTAACTTTTCTGAAAAGAGTCTTAAAACTACAAACACAGAGAAATCATAATACAAGTTCCTAAAACTAATTAAAACCTTTGAAAAAGCATTTGAAATCAATGGTGCAAATGGGTATAGCGGCAAGAACAGACTTGAGAAGGACTTGTTTTCCTGCAGCAGAAAGAAAACGTGAGGCCCAGGTGTTGGATCTTTTCCGGATACGGTCCACCAATCCCGCAAAGATATCTCCTAATGCTATTAATAACCAATACTCTTGTAGTGAAATCCTATTTTATCCGATCATACGCCTTGCTCATGCCCGTTTTAACCACCATGAAGCAGCATTTTTTCACCTCGGATGTCCGCATACATAATGTAGCGTCTCGTGGGTGATAAGCACATAATCCGAAATGACTCTGTTTGGGACAAAAGCTAACTGATTTTCTGATATAAGGAGCGGGAGGGTAGCTTGCAAGCGTTTAGTGACAACCTCTGCTACAATCTTGTAGTAGACGTTCCATAAAGCTATCGGGTGATAGTCTGCCACCTTCCTGGGTCCTGATACTTTCGGGATTAGACGAAAATGGTCTCATTTTGCCGAGCGGGAAAAGCGCCAGACGTGAAAAAACTCTTGGATTTCTTTCGCAACATCCTGTCTTATGATAGGCCAGTAAGTGTGAAAGAAACCAGCAGAGAATCCATCTGGTCCCGGAGCTTTAATCAGATGAATGCTTTTAACCGTAACATAGATTTCCTCCAAATCGAGAATCCGTGTAAGGCTACGATTCAAATTTTCGGTGACCAGTGGAAGGAGTACCTCATCTAGAGACCAGGATTAGCGGTGGACTGCAAGGAGAAGATGTTCTGTAAGTAATCAGAGATTATACGGGTGAAATCTTGTTCCTCATGATAAGCCACCCCGTCTGAGTCCTCCAAGACTGTAAATCGATCAAGTTTGTCTGTTGTGGGTAACTGTATGAAAATATCATGTGCTCCTGTCATTGATGCTTATGAATATTAAGGATGCGTCTAGCAGCTATCCATTGAAACCGAGGAGTTTTCGCCGAGAAGAAAATCGAGGACTTACTAAGGTTTATGCATTGTCTGGAGACGGCTTTATAACGCTTGAGTATCGATGCCAAAGTAGTACAGCTATCCCTGTCTGATTTGCAGAAGAACATGGTATCGTTCGCGAACAGAAGATGATTTACCAGGGGGAGGGGGGGCTGTTTCTCGACACTCGAATACCATGCAGTAAACCTTATTCTTGAGCCTTGTGACACATATCTGCTAAAACTTCGGTATAGAAGATAAACAGGTATGGAGAAAGGAGATCTCCCTGACGGAGGCCGTAGGATGGAAGACCATTTCCTGAGGTCCTCCGTTAATCAAGAAGGAGTATGAGACCGATGTGACACATTCCATGGTCCAAGTGATCCATGTGGCATGAAATCCCAATTTCGCCAAGACTGCTTTAAAAAAACATTACAGGAAAAACGGGCTTTAATAGCGGCTGAAAATTGCTATCTAACGATATAATAGCATTTAGTTAAGCGCTCTATCATCACCCGCGATAATAAGTCTGGCACATTAGATAGAGGTTTTGGACATTGCTATCGATTCAACATTAAATATAGCACATTTTTGTCTACAATCGTATATAATACAATAGCATATTGTATTCTCACAGCATTCTGGGTGGATAACAGTTTTTTATTATGCTACACTTGTTCTTTCTTATCAGGTTGCACTTGTTCTTGCGGCAAAAAAATGACATTTATTGATATTCAAAGTATTACAAAGGTCAAAGTATTACAAAAGACCTAAATCACAAATATACACAAGTATCTAGTTAGAAGATAAATTTGGATGCAGTCACAACTTCCAATCAACAGCAACTGTTGTACCTCCCAGATCATGAGTGTGCCATCAGATCCTCCATTAAATCTAAAATCACAAAATAGAAAGCTTTAGAGAATGATAGATCAACTTACGCATGTATAAATTTCCTATTTTTCCATATCTCTCAGAATCGTTGTATGAGATAAGTCAATGAATGTTCATGTTTTCTACAGCTATTAGAAACAATTCTCAAAAATAAAAACACACTAAAGCAAATTGGATTACCTTTGAAATCTAATTCAGAGACTGATGGAGGGATTAGAGCAATAAAAATCCTCATCACTTTTTTTACAGGCTATCTCATCTCTTCCTGTAACAAATATAAGCTCTTAAACAAATATTATTGGAGTAACTAATTTCTTATTAGAGTCAAAAAATCCATGAAACCAACCTTTGGTGTATCCACTTTTACTTCAAATATTGTGTTCCCTAGAAAGTGTTCACCTTTCACAGGGTTCTATTAGTAGTCAAAAATATCAAACTGTAAAAAGATTTGCAGATCGAACTATGAAAAAAGTGTAATACCAATAAAACAGCAAAATCCACTCAAAACCTCTGAACAAAACTACGGAATCGGATAAGGGTTTCGTAAAAACTCTCAATGTTGTTTCAGCGATCTATGAAAGATGGTAATTTGTCCTTTTTTATAAAAACACCCAAACACTTCAACACCAAAACTGTTTTGGCGAAACAAGTCCTGCACAAAATTAAATAACTCATAACAAATTAGATTCCTTCTGTAAAAGATACCCACAGAAGATAAAGAAGAAAGAGATAGAGAGTAAAGCCCATACCTTTTAGGTCTTAAGACCATAGAAACGGATGAAACCTCTGCTTTTATTGTTGATTGTGTTCTTCAAAAGACAGAACCCAAAAAGATGTAAGTGACAAACAATGGAAAATAAAAGTATCCAGAGAAAAATTACAAAGCACCTAAAGGAAATCAAAGGCATGGATTTAAGAAGACGCAGATCTTGAGATGGGAAAAATCGAGGCGGCAGAAGATGAAGAATCCGCGGAGGAAGCAGGATTCGATACAGTGAGAGAGAGTAGGATTTAATTTGGAGAAGGAGAGTTGATGCGAGCTAGGGTAGCTATCACAAAATATTTTAAAATTTATAAATCTTAGTGTCTGCAAGTGCACAACTATGCATTGTAGTACTTAGGGTGTCGATCCACAGAGAGTTGTCTTTTTTTGCTGAAACTTCAAACTGGATTAGTAATCGAAGTCAAAGACCAATGTGGGTTTTTTGTGGGGTTTTGGTGTCACAATTTCTACTAAGCTAAACAAGAAATAATAATAGTTCAAAACAAAGATAAAAAACGTGCTGGGCATTAGGGTTCATCTCTAGGACACAAGGAATCTAGGTAAGGATTTTCTATGATTCTGAAATTAGGATAGACACTTGTAAGATTAACCAACTCTCGTCACCCTAATCATCTAATCACTCATTCATGGCAATTAACTCTCGCTCTCATGCCAAAACAAGATCATACATTTTAGCTCGGAATCCATCTCGACCTACGTATCCTCCGTAGGTAGCTTTCGTCTCCTACTACGGTGACGTCCATAAGATTCAGTTCAAGCAACCCAGATACAACACTCTCGTGGCTCGGATTTAACCTAGGATCGGACACTGGTTAGCTACTCCAGCATTACCGCATTGAGATTTGGATGAATGGGAGAATCATTTAAAATCGAAATCTTTTAACCTAAAAAACTTGAATGTCATCGGTCTTGGGGTCCTTTTTCGATGGCCCTCTTCACCCAGCAAGGTGACTACTCAGACGTGGCTGAGCTTGACAACATCATCAATTGTTTTGAAACATAAAAGAAGTAAAGTAAAATAAATTGCATAAACTGAATAGATAGATGAAAAGAAACAGCAAAGGTTCAAGAGAAGAATCTCTATCTCCCTAATCTAAACCTAAGAAACAAAAGTTGGGTGCCTCTCTATCAAGGGGAAAGGAGCACACACGAAATAGGGTTTCTAAAATACATATTTATAGGCCTCCAAGTGTTTCTGGTCGTCCTTAGGGCTTTTTTTGCAGAGAGAATGAGTTGGGCTTGAAAATAGACTATTAGACTGAAAATGGGCTTGTTGCAGAATGAGGCTTCTCCAAGTCTGTTGCATGCTGGCCCACCGTGTGTGAAGGCTCTGAGGCGTATCCAGGATGTTGTTCACCGTGTTCACAAGCTCCTGGACCGCGGTGGTTCGTCTATGATGCCCAAACTTCATTCTTCCTCTTGCTTCTTTCACGAGACTGCAGAACATGTCTTCAGTAAATTGGAAATAACTTATGATCCAACCGTTAGATTGCTTTAATTCCACTTGCATTGGAAAGCTGGTTGTGTCTTCTATCTTTTGTCCAAATTTGAGCTTGATCGGAGACGGTGATAAGATCTTCATCGGATGTGAAACATCTGATGGTCCGAAATTGGCCAAAAGTAGTTTTTTCTCCAATTTGCATTGTTTTTGCTTAAGTAACCTGAAAAGTCTTTTAAAACTCCAAAACATGGAAAACACTTATAAAACCTTTAAAAGTGATTGAAAACACCTGCATAAGATAGTAAAAGTGATCTATAAATATGGTCAAAATCAGGTGTTATCAAGAGTCGGATTTACCAGAAATCTATAACGAGTGAGAGAGGGTCTTGCTCGCCATCAATGATAGATCTCATAGCTCAAGAGGCGATGCTCTCTCACAACTTTTTCACATGCACAACATATTATAGCATTTAAAATTTTAGAAACGCTACATAAAAGTCAGAACTAAGTCATTTATAGCACAAATACATAAAAGGCTATCTTCTAATGCTATTAATAACCAAAATTCTTGTAGTGTAAATCCTATTCTATCCGTTCATACGCCTTGCTCATTTCCGTTTTAACAGCCATGAAGCAGCATTTTTTCGCCTCAGATGTCCGCAGATAATGTAGCATCTCGTAGGTGATAAGCACATTATCTGAAATGGCTCTGTTTGGGACAAAAGCTAACTGATTTTCTGATATAAGGAGCGGGAGGGTAGCTTGCAAGCGTTTAGTGACAACCTTTGCTACAATCTTGTAGTAGACGTTCCATAAAGCTACTGGTGATTGTTTGCCACCTTCCTGGGTCCTGACACTTTCGAGATTAGACGAACATGGTCTCATTTTTCCGTGCGGGAAAAGCGCCAGACGTGAAAAATTCTTGGATTTCTTTCGCAACATCCTGTCTTATGATAGGCCAGTAAGTGTGAAAGAAACCAGCATAGAATCTGTCCGGTCCCGGAGCTTTAATCAGATGAATGCTTTTAACCGCAACATAGATTTCCTCTGAGTTGAGAATCCGCGTAAGGCTATGATTCATATTGTCGGTGACCAGTGGAAGGAGTACCTCATCTAGAAGACCAGGATTAGCGGTGGACTGCAAGGAGAAGATGTTCTGTAAGTAATCAGAGATTATACGGGCGAAATCTTGTTCCTCATGATAAGACACCCCGTCTGAGTCCTCCAAGACTGTAAATCGATCAAGTTTGTCTGTTGTGGGTAACTGTATGAAAATATCTTGTGCTCCTATCACTGCTCTGCAGCCAAAGGATCTGACTCCTTTGTTTCCAGAACTGCTCTTCCTTTTTGTACACTTTCTCCAATATCGCTTGAATTTACCGATTGTTAATATATAATATCACATTAAGGGGTAAAACAGTAATATTCGAATCAAAAGACTCGTTTTATTAGAAGATAATTCAGAAAAATACAATTTGAGTTAAGGTCGTCGTAGTTTTGACGACCTCGTTAACAAATGGAGAACTCGAAATAAAATGACGATCTCAAAATTCTTCAGAGGTCTCTCTTTGCTCTTGATTTGCTGATGGCTCGAATGAATGAAATCCTCCTCTATTTATACGAATCTTAAGGCGGTTTGAGAAGGATTTCCCTTTTCTTTTTTGATGTGGGTTTTAATATTTTTCCTTTACGATATTTCCGAAAATCCTCTGTAAAATTTGGGAAGGTCAGCCAATTTCGTGAAACTAGGCTTTAATGGGCCTTCCAGAAAGTCTTATGTCGGTCTACCCGATTTAACCTCGATTCAAATCTTCGTAAACCAAGGTCTCTCCGGACCGGTCTCGATTAATACAGGGTTAAACCGGGGATGTGAAGTACACCACCAACACCGATTAGTTCTGGGTTGGGTGTTTCTGCTGAGAGAGCTACCTCAAGCTCAGTTTGTGCTTCAAGGATGAGCTTAGCACTGTTCATGTTTTGATCTTTAGTCCATCGTATGATTCCTAGCTGCCATCAGAAATCTTGGCAATCACAGATTGGCGATCATCTTTATTCCAAACACGTCCTATAAGGTCCATTATTTCATTCTTTTCTCGAAGTCTATTGTCAAAGCGAAATATATTTTTGTGCTTAACTCTAGAATCGTCTAGGAATGTGACCAAAGGACGGTGATCGGCTACTTCATATCGTAAGTATTCTCATGGAGACAAAAACCATGATGAGTTTGTTTTCAATATATGTCAGTGGATGGATTACAGTGCTTTAGATGCATTGAAAACCATATCCGGGAAAAGATTGCATCTTAATTTCCTAAAGCATCGAACTGTAAAGGAGTTCTAAGTTCTTGACAGTTCTAAATGGTTGTAATCATTGAGATGAATATGGTTTTCTGAAAACCATCAAACCCTTACAAGTAGAAGGTACTAAAACTTTAGAGATAGAGGGAACAAGAGCCTCTCTAGAATCCTCATTACGAGGTACAACAAACGAAGAAAAAGCCTTAGATTTCTTTGCTGGAGGATGTTTGAGCGATGCTGACTCTCTTCCGCGAAAATCTTTTTTTCGTCGCTACTCGTTGCTTTGAACTGCCTCCTTTGAGTGGGATGTGCGGGAATAACTTCTTCGATGCAGAGGCCATGAGGCTTTTAGCAATCGATTTAGCTGAAGCTTTAGTTTGTCTGCGTCTTGGAATAGTCTTTTTTGCTGTTGTTCCCAATTGTTGCTTGACAGGTACTGTCCGAGGTCCTAGTCTAAAAGCCGTCGGTATCCTTTCTCCATTCAGCGGAGGCAGATCCGGAATAGTTGCTTTAGATGAGGCTTCAGAGTTGGAGTTGTGTCGATGGAATTTATCGCGGGGTTGAGAGAGCTTACCAAGCGGCAATATAGCTTCATCTTCTCGTATCGGGATCCCAAAAGGTCGTCATCTTCGACCCAATCCTTTTCAGCTTCAGTGTTTGAGGTGTGAAGAGATTAGGCTTCGCGAGCGTGAGGAATTGAGACTTGTTCCAGAGCAGACTTACATTTGCGGCTGCTCAAAGCTTCCACAAGCTCAACTTTGCGAGAGTGATTGGTCTTGGAGTGAGAACGGGTAAATTCATCACGACGAGGATTGCTTGAGTGGTCTTGAGTCTCTTCTTCTTCTTGTTCAGCTCTATGTGGAGGGGATCTTTGAGGAACATAAGAGTCTCTGTTCAAGGTCAAAGCATTGTTGGAGGAGCGAGCACCATTAGGAGATCGACTCCTATAGGTGTCGAGACGATGAGCAGGAGCTTCTATTTGTTTCGACTTCCTAGGTGAGGAGTGACGACGATACTCCCTGTAAGAAGAATTATGTCTGTAATACGGAGTTTTATTGCGTAGAGGATGGCTC